CACACACACACACACGTCGCGCGAAGCCTATGAAATGGTTAGGGATGTACGGGCAGCTCTTTTCTGTTTGCTGATGCGGCCTTCGATGTCTGAAGAAAACTGGCAGTGTGGCTTCCTATGAAACGCAACTCCCAGGCCTGGTCCTTGCGACCAAAGGGCAAGGCCTGGACGGGAGAAGGAGTGACAGCGTCTGACGGCGAAAGAGATGGGTGCTCCCTGGCTGGGTGATGTGTGTGAAGGTCTACCTCGGCAGAAATTGACGTGGACGCCTGTGTTCTTCAGAATGCATGCGTGATGCCGGGTGGAAAGGGGTTCATGGACAGCCTGAGGCAATGGTAGAGTGGATAAAGGGGGCCTGGTGGTATGAAGATCTCTAACTGTTTGTCCTGGCTTTGCCAGTGTTTCAAAACATGATATACCCCAGATTGACTGCCCCCATGAAGAGTGCACATGGTTGTTGATCGGCTGGTTGTGGCCCCGTCCTCGTGTGCGAAAGTTTCGGCGCAAAACGCAGCGGTCTGCCTTATATACATGTGTCCAGGGATGGCGGGCTGACAGGGCTTTGGAGCATTCTCACGGACTGTCAATCCGATTGGCCATTGCCTTCTTTCGCATTATCAAGCTGTTTTGGCTGACGGATGTTGAATTGCATGATTGAGTGGTAACCATTGGTGGCTTTGACCCTTCAACATCACTCAGTGTAGAATCGTGGCAGTTTGGTTTTGCTTTGAAACCGAGACTCGTCTCACTGCCTCACAGCAGCCAGGTTTTTGGATCTGAGACAAGCCCTATCTATCCCTCTCGGCTTGCGTTGCGTTTTGGACAGGGGAAGGGCAAGACGGCCGAAAGGCGGGGCGACTTGGAGATTGGAGGGTTTGGCTGATCCCACTTGGCTTGGATCCTTTTGGCCGGGGAGTTGCACGTTGCGCGGATTTGAAGCTCGTTGCGCAGATTGAAGGATGTCTTGCTCCCGTAACGGGTTTTTCCAACACCATGAGGCCATGCTTTTCTTGGTGGCTCCCATCTAGTGTTAGCCTTGTAGTGTTTAGGACAGCCCAGTTTTCTCTGGGATGGCGAAGTTGGCAACAGGCGAATTGGCCCCTCAGGCATGGCACCTGCATGGCACCTGGCATTGGCTCGTGGCCTGTGACTCGCGGCTCGAGTCCTCGTCACGTGGCCTCAGGATGGCGGAGAACCGGGTCTTGTGCACGGACCCGGAGGACTGGCGCGCGCAGAGCTCACCTGGCGCTTGGCGGCGGCGGCGAAGCCATTGGATCCCTTCGCTGGCGGAAAAGTGACGTAAAGTTTACATATGAAGTAGTGTAGATACGGTGAAGACACGTAGATACATACTATTCCCATAGGTGGCCTTTTTGGTTGTTTTGGTTAAACAAGCTCAGGTGATATCCCCAACAGCATGCTCTTTTTAGTGCTCGCACCACCCCGCAACCCTCTCAGAACCTCGTGGAACCTCGTGGAACCCTGGTGGAACCCTATTGGAACCTTACCTCCGGGCCGCCCCGGACCACCCCGGAGCCTATCTGGGCTGAGACCCCAAAGCTTCCAGCTGTTGGGGAAAAAACAACCATAGATGGCGATTCCTGGTTTACCTAGTGGTTTCATCATCTGCCAGGGCCATCGCCAAGGCTAGAGGTCCTGGCTGGGGCCCAGGTCAAGAACGAGCTGTGGCTAGGATTGCGCGAGCCCCCCTTGGTTCTTGCGCAGGAAGGCCGCAAGATGGAGGAGCTCAAGAAGAAGCGTGAGGAGCTAGCGTGAGGGGCAGAGATCTGGGGGAGGTGGACGGAGAGGGGGGGGTAAATGAGAGGATTTGTTCGTGTAGATGTTTGTCCTGGACAGCAGACTGCTCATGTAGAAGCCTGATCGACACTCTCAAGGCAGTCGTTGCGCTCCAACCAATTTCCCAGTGGTGGCTGTGGTGAGAATTGAGGCTGTGGCAAGGCATTGATTGCTTCTTTGATGTGGCCTTGATATTTGGCCGGGCCCGGTGTGTTTGTCAATCAAACCAAGGCAAAAATCCTCCGTCTTTCCGCTTGCGGGCCCTTAAGAGAGGCCAAGATGGCTTGCTGAGAGCAGCGCACTGCCTCCGAGGTCGCGAAAAGCCACGCTGCTGGCGAACGTCACCAAGCAGATGAAGGTGCGCGTTCCGAATACGGGAGGCAGGGTGAGCAGGCAGCAAGAAGGCCTGCTAAGGATTGCGTAGACCGTTCGGCGAAAGTGACGGCCCAATTTGAGAACCGGACAGCGTCAAGAAGGATTTCGTCAGGGCTTCTTTGCTTTCCTGCGCATCCTATCTCACGATCGCTGAGAGCCGAGGCGACATATCGGGACCTTTTCCAAGTCAGCCAGGTGGTGCATTCCTGTTTTCAAGGATTTGGTCTGGGACGAGCGGGATCAGGAATTGTTTGGCAGACAGGGGGAATAACTACCTCTTGCGTGCTCGTGATGCTGCAATGTCACACGACTGAAACAAGTATGTGGACATCAGCACTTGGTCAGCCCAAAAGTTGAAGTTAGCACTGAGGCATGGCCGTGCACTTGCACCTCATTGTCCGCTCATGTTGGGCTTGCAGACAACGCGAGCATTCCCAAGCTCGCTCTAAGCCATGCATTATGACATAGGAATACTGACACGAAAGGATTTAGAACTAGCTTTTTGAAAACCTACGCTTTTGGCTGTACATGCAGGTGCCAACAGCAGTATCACTGGGGCTTCTTCCACCTTGGAATACATCAAGCAGACTCGTCATTATCCCTCCGCTGAGTTTGATGACCATTGCTTTCTGAGACTATGTTGATAGCTCATGCTCCGAAAGCCCACGAGACAGCATGCAGATGTCGATTCTAGGACCTCTGATCAGGCTGACAAACGTTGCTATATAAACTGGGCTGCGCTTTGATAGGATCTTCAACCGACACCTTTCACATTTTGGGAACTTTGTGTTTCCCAACTAGCCCGCATTGATGGGTCGTGAGTGTTGTCGATACACTTCATTGCATTGAGAATTTGTTCACCACCGGGGGGGGGGGGGGAAGCTGGGGCCCCATTTTACATGGGCAAGTAGAAAGGACCGCCCTCTTCTCGCATGTTTTTCTGTTTTTCCTTTTCTTTTTCCTTGAAACTCACACCTTCTCAGTATTTCAGGCCATTATGGCCAAGCTGAACAACCCCAACAACTCAGAGGCTGGGGCCTCAAGCCTCGGGAGAGCGCGCTGATATCTCGGGAATGACCGAGACCGGGTGTTTGGGAATGCTTTGGGGATTCCCGAATAAAGGAAACCATACACCAGTTGGACGGGTTTTCTTGGGCTCATTCCATTTCTCGTTCCCTGGTTGGAAGGCGCTTGCTTTGGCTTTCGAGCTCCTTGTTGCATGCGAACAAAGCGGCATACGAGCTCTTGTTGGTCCCAGCTGGGTGGCTCGTCTTTTTTGGAGGCTGCACCTTTCCGGGCATGGGATTTTAGAAGGAAACAAACAAAAATCCACCCCTAAAACACATCCACATCCACTGCGACCCTTGGGACATGTTTTAGGATTTGGCTGTGCGTCAAAACCCTGTACCCCTGGTGAACATCAAAATAGGTGGCAAATGGATGTTCATCCACCCCAAAATGGGATCGCCATAGGTTATGCAACCCATGGCCATTTATCATCCAAATCCTAAGACCAGGACGGAGTGCGCCTTTCTGGGCCTGGGATTTTAGAAGGAAACGACCAATTCTACCCTTAAAGAACATCCACACCCACTGCACCCTTGGGACATGTTTTAGGATTTATCTCCAAATCGTATGACAAAGAGCGCCCAATGCCTAAATCCCCAAGTATCCTAAGAATCACCGACACCCAACTGCACCGGAGCTAACCAACTCCTAAGACAAGGACGGAGCGCGGCATAACTGGCCTCCGGTTTCAGCTCAGCTCAGCAGAGGCCACCCGGGAGACGCTGCGCTCCCTGCTGCTGGGCCTCAAGGCCTCGACTGGCTCGCGTGGCTGCTTCGTTTTTGGCGGGAGGTGGCGGCCGCTTTTTTGGCAGAGACGGGTGCTCCCCCAAAGATGTGGGTTTACGGTTGCCGCTCTTGCTAAAACACCGGAAAATGCCGTGTCTTTTTCTTTGGCGGCTTTTAGGGAGCAGCTAAAAGGACAGCCGAAGCCATTTTTCGGGGGTTTCCGGAGGAAAACGACACTGCCAAGGCTACGGCTACCTGCGGTTTTCCTGCAGCTCTTGATCTTTTGAGCCACACGCAGTTGGCGATGAAGCAACCAACGCTATCCGCCAGAGAGAGGCAACACGCTCGCACTCGGCGCAGGAAAAGCTGGACTCGCAGCGTTCTCGGTGGGTCTATGCTCCGACTGCCCTGGATCGAACCGCTCTGAATCTTTCGAGAGAAAAATATGGTTTCTTGCTAAACCTTGTGTTATGTACTTTTCCAGACTTTCACATGGGTGCGCTGAAAGCGTCATGTGCTCATTTATGTTCCATCGAGCTTGGATCGTGCCCTCCGCGAACTTCATCCGAAATGGGTGTCTGTTGAAAGGCTCGGGATGACCATGATTTCTGGTCAGCAACTCCAGCCAGTTCACTTTGAGTTTCAGCTCTTTCTTGTGGACATCCAGAATGGGTCCCTTGACTGTGAGGGTACAACTAGACAAACCTCTGGCCTCGTCGGCCGAACCCGTTCCACCCTCCGGGGAATCTCCCCAAGGGCCTTGGAGCTAAAGCCTTCCTTTGGGCTTGGTTTGGGAGGATGGGTCATGGGAATCTGGGGTTCATTTGGGTCCTCTGGCGCAATCCCGCTTGCCTGAGGCTGGCGGGCCCGAAGCCCGACAGGACCGGGGAAAGATGAGACATTTTGAGAGGCTTGCTCCTGGGTGTGTCATCTTTTTAAGGTTGCCCCCTCCAAACAAAAAAAAACGTCTATTATATACATATATATATATATATATCTATATTAACCAGGCTCCCGCCTGCTGCCGCCGACCCTCGGCGCATTAAGGGAAAAATCACAAGGACCGGTCCTGAAACACGTCCGCAAACCCAGGGACCACTTATAAGATTTTCTACGACCACAAACAAGGATTAACGGAAAAGTCAGAAATATGGCAGCTAGTCCGTTAATTGCCGCTTGGGCCGGCTTGCGCCCAAGTCACTTCGAGTTGGCCCGGGAGCAGTCGCCTGTCCCGGGTCGCCCTGAAACTGGCCCTCCCGAAACTGCCCCGGCGACAGTGGCCCTAGTGGCCCTGGACCGGTCGCCGGCAGTAGATCCAGGGATCCTCTACTACCACAAGGATTAGCGGAAAAGTCAGACAGGCGGCAGCTCGTCCGTCAATGACCGCACGGGCCGGCTCGCGCCCAAGTCACGTTGAGCTGGTCCTAGAAACAAGGCCGTCGGTGCCCCTCAACCGGTCGCAGGGAGGGACTGGGACTTGGGACCCTGTCCGGTCCTGAAACACGCATGCCAGCCCGGAAACAGCGACACTGAAAAAACAGGTGTCTGGAGCTGTTTGAGGTGGCACCGGGTTTCTGCAGCGGTTTGAAGTGGGATCCGACACCAGCGGCTGGGACCGGACCAGTCCTGAAAGCGGTCCTGGCCAGTCCCGGCACCGGTCCCAGGACTGGTTTCGGGACCAAATCTGTGTCCCGGGACCAGTCCCAGGAGGTCCCAGGACCTGGCACTGGTCCTGAAACCGGTCCCGGGACCGGTCCCAGGACCGGTTTTGGCTGACTGCAAGTAATCCGAAGCGCTGGGAATCCACTTTTTGTACTTTCGGGCATGCCCCCCAGGGACCATCATTGATTCCAATCACTTCCAGTGGTCCCCTCTGCAGGAGGCTGGGACGGGAGGCAGAGGGTCGGCGGACAGGTAGTTCCTGCCTTTTGGTTTCCCTTTGAAACAGTACCCAAACAGGTACCATCAAACAGACCACATGCTCAGTTCGGGTTTGCGAAGGGTCTTTCGGCCAGGTTTAACAAGTGTGCTGGGGACATGGGATGTCGGATGTCAGCACCCTTTCAGAAGGCATTACGCTATCATGTTTGTTGCACAGTCGTCTTGCTGGTCATCGCAGGATGCTACTTGAAACACCTCGCCTCACAGCCAAAAACAGATCGCCCGGTCCCCCTCCAATGAGGCATTCCCCTGAGAGGGGCTTGCAGCAAAAGCCACTGCTGAGGCTTCAACTAAAGAGGTACTCCGACCGTCCCAACTTGCCCCAGGCAGCCGAAACACGTACCATGAATCAGTCAAGTTGGCTTGCCCACGAGAGCCCCTGCGTCAGCCAGGACTCAGCAGCCGGCCATCCCAAGGACTGAAACTCCGGTGAGTTTGTGAAGGGGATGTGTCCTGACCGCACTTCAGCCTGCATTTTCTCAATAATGAACACGCCGTGCTTTCCTCTATGTCTCAAGTCGCGTTTGCAGGTGGCAGATACATCAGATTAGAATTGTATAGATGTTTTGGCTCACGCCCCTCATTTGGCATTGTTGCTGTTTATGGCCTCAGTTCAGGCGGCCGTGGTGTCTTTCCCTCCGAATGGCAGGTGGCTGGTTGGGGGCGGCGGGGCTGTTCGGCCAGGAGCCATCGCCTGGATCTCAGGAGCCGGGTGCTGAAGTTCCAGCTCAGCGAGGCCGGCGCCGGTTTGCCGCGAAAACCGGGGGGGTTGGGGGGTTGGGGCGGTTGGGGCGATTGAGAGGTTCGGGGAACTCGGCGGGTCTCATCGTTCTTTACAGGCCTTTCTCAAAAATACGGCGAGTTTCAAGAAATTTGAACATGATTAAGTCATGATTCGCGCGATGGGCTGGCATTGTGGCCAATGCAACAACCCGGGTGTGTGCTTGGCAACTCCTGGTGGCCCGATCGCCGATTGCGGCCAGAAACCCGAGCATGCACAGCCGAGTTGGGCTGGGCTTGACTGAAACGGAGCCAGAGGAATCTGCCCAGCTTTGCGGAGCTCTCCCGTTGTGAATTTGATGGATCTACACATTGGTTGGGATTGCTGCAGATAGCATTGTGTGGAAACTGGAAGAAATACTGGCGGATTGTTCATTTGGAAAGGACATGGGTGGGACAATCCTAGTTTCACGAGGAACATGAAGCTTCCCCAACTAACTCTTGGTGTTCGGAGGTTTCGGCCCCTTGGGGTGATATTGTCCGTCGCTTACATAATCGATCCTGAAGTCTAATCCGAGACCCGAAAGCTGAACCAGCTACATCTCCCGGGGCGCTTGGACACTAGCCAGATGTGTTCAGTGTTTTTTTTTGTTATTTTTTGGTTTTGTTTCTTCTGCGCTTTTTTTTGCTTCTCCTTTCTAGCGGTTTGGGTGCTTTTTTTGTTTTTTACTGTTGGTTGTTTGCTTTGTTTCCTGTCTAGGGTGTTTTCCTGAGGGGTTCCTTCAGGGAAGCCGAAAGAAAGCCCAGAAAATCAGGGTTCGAACCTGAATTTGCCCGAAGCAAAAGTGGATCAAGGCTCTGGCTTCCGTTGAAACGCTCGCCACGCTTGGAGGCTCCAAGAAAGGAAATGCAGGAAAACCGGACTCGTCCACTCAAGGATTGGCCCATAGAAACACCAAACCACCCTAGAAAGGGAACATGAAGAAAGCGAAAAACCGAACCACCCCCTGACACGCCACAGCCGCCCCGCCCGCCGCACTCTCAGGCCACCCCACTGGAGGTGCTGCGGGAGGAGCTACGAAAGCTGGGCGCCGACGAGGCGAGTTGATCGAAGGGACCTTCCCCCCCCCCCCCCCCCGCGAAAATGGTTCGTTTCTTACGGGGCTCCTTAAAAGATCACTCCATTCTGCCTTGCCATTTGAAACATGGCTGGCTTTTTCAACAAAATTTTGGGGAACCACCATTTACAAGTTGCAATGTTCAGGTGTAGAATGCAAGGATCCCGGTATTAGTATTATGATGTGTCTTGTTATTACTCTTCTTGTTGCTTTTTGTGGGTTTAAAGGGGGAAAACCACCTTTTTGGGGGGTCCCGCAAAAAGTACTCACACACCCATGTGTGTTCCCAGAACCCAAGGGCTTGCCAAATCATGGAGATTCCCCAAAGCAAATTCCCCCCCCCCCCCCCACACCTTCCCATCAGCTTCCATGCTTGTTGGAAGGTGAGGATCGGATACTGTGATACTGGGGGGAAGCGTTACCCCTTTGAAGGGCAGTCGTCAAACTCGTGGGACAAACTTGGGCCATTGGGGAATTCTCACATACCTGTCCTGTTCTGGAGCGCTAGTGAATGCATAATCAGGGGGGAGCCCCATGATCACCAAAAAGGCTGTTTGCCGGGTTGAAAACACGATGATAAGAGTTGTTACTCAGAGGGACCATATCACTTTCGCAGCCATGTGAACATCCGAGCAAGGCCTCGTTTGTGAGGCGTACTTTCCACCCCAAAAGCCACCAACTCAACGGGGCCAGAAATTCCCTGACTGCTCCAAACATCCAGGTCTTTTGGCCAGAGAAGAAACAACTCCTGGGCTACAGTGGTCGACGTTTCTTCGATATCCGCGGATTCGCTTGGGAGCTCCGTTCTCAGGTGGTGGATCTTCGGCTGGAGCCGGGGGAGGAGGGCGACACCGCGGTGGTGGAGTGCCACCTGCCTCGCGTTTTTGGTTCGCTTCGGGGAATGCCGAAGCGTGGAGCGGAGAGGTTTTCCGGCGGCTGAGTCTAAGGTGTGGGGGGCTGGGGGCTGGGGGCTGGGGGGCTGGGGATTTGTTCCTTCACACTGCCCAGCTCCACATCGGTGGATGAAGTAGGCGACCAGGTGAAGGGCCCGCCACACCCCAGTATTCCTAGATGAATGTCACCTCGTAGCCTTCCGTAGTTGTTGGGCGCGCCCGAAAAGTCTGGCCACCCGAAAAGTCTGGATTGCATGAGTGCCAGATTTTGAGAAGCAGAGTCGGTCAATTTACACGCTGACGCGACACAGCCGGCCACCGGGCACCCCTTCCCGTTCTTTGATTTCCTTTCCCTGCTAGTTTTCGGGATGATTTGAATGAACTTTTCCTTTGCATGTCTTCCCTGACAGTTTCCTGGCATGTCCCTTCACTTCCACTTCACTGCCGTTTCAGCTCCCTCCATTTCCTTGAAGACTCCTTTATTCGCATTCTGTCCGGTCCCCTTCACGTTCTGCCCTTGCATTTTCCTGCATCTCGGTTTCTCTCCAGTGCCCTCCCCATTTTTCGTGCCATTCCTTTGACTTTCATTTTGTTCACTTCCAGTCACTCCTGCTTCCTTGCATTTCCCCTCAACCCCTTGTTTCGCATCGCCAGCATGCATAGCATCATCTGCATCATCCGGAATGATGCTGGCAATGCTGGGGGTGTTGTCCAGTATTAGGCACCCCCCAAGAAGCGCTCGTTTTGTGACTCTGCGGGGAGATGCTACAAAACTCCTCAAAAATCGCTTAAACAAATCCGCAAATCCTTCGCCCCTTATAAGGGAGGGCCCAGCATAAAACGTATGCGCATGTTCTGCGCATGGTCCGCTCATGGTCGGCGGCATGGGGCGCGCGGCCTTATACCTGAAGGTAAGCCCTAACGGGCTTTGGCCTGCGGCCCGATCACGTCCGGTGGCCGGATTTACACGCTGACGCGACACAGCCGGCCACCGGGCACCTTGCCCTGCCCGTTCTGTCACTTCCCTTTCCTGTAAGTCCGATTAGTAGATGTTAAGATTTTAAAATTCTAAAAACTTTGAGATTCTAAGGGTCTCAGATTTGAAGACTTTCGGAATTTAAGGTTTCAATGGTTTAAGAATTAAGGTTTTAAGATTCAAAGATTTAAGGTTTTTGAAGGTTATAACAGCCAGGCCATTGCCCAGCCATTTTCCATCCAGTATCAGATTTCGAAGGCTTTAAGATTTCATTTTTGTGAGATTTTCAGATTTGGCGACTTTCGTAATTTAAGATTTTAAGATCTTAAGATGTCAAGACTTCCAAATTTCAAGATTAAGAGTTTAATGAATTTAAAATATAGCCCGGATTGAAGGAATTTTATTATATTTTACTTGTTTATGAATTTAAGATTTTCAGATTGCAATAGTTCGATATTGAAAGAATTTAAGTTTTTGAAACTTTTAAGATTCTGAGATTTTAAGATTTTGAGAATTTAGGAATTTCATATTTTAAGATTTGAACATCTGAAGATTCAAAGACATGAGGGTTTTAAGAAGTCAAGTTTCGACGACTTTAGGATGTTTATATTTTCAGGTTGTAAGATTCTAACTTCTAAGGTTGTAATCTTAAGATCTTAAGGTTTCAAGAGTTGAAAAATTCAAGATTAAGAGTTTAAGGAATTTAAAATATAGCCCGGATTGAAGGAAGGTAAATTTTAATAATTTAAGATTTTCAGATTTCAATTGTTCGAGGTTTAAATAATTTAAGTTTTAAAGCTTTTTAAGATTCCGAGATTTTAAGAGTGTAAGACTTTAGGAATTTCATATTTTAAGAGTTTAAGATCTCAAGATTCTAAGACATAAGGTTTTAAGATTTCAAGATTCGAAGACTTTAGGATGTTTTTATATTTTCAGATTTTAAGATTCTAAGTTCTAAGATTTTAAGATCTTGAGATTCTAAGATTGATTGTTAGATTTTAATTTAAGATTTTAAGAATCTAAGACTTTAGGATTTTGAGATTTCAATCCAGGCCATTTTCCATCCACTTTAAGATTTTAAGATTTTCAGGTTGCACGGTTTCGGCAAAATTGGCCCGACTTAGGGGACAACATCCCCAGCATCACCCGCATCGCCAGCATGCATAACATCATCTGCATCATCCGGGATGATGCTGGCAATGCTGGGGGTGTTGTCCAGTATTAGGCACCCCCTAAAAATACTCGTTTTTGGGCGCTGCGGGGAGATGCTATAAAAATCGCCTAAACCAATCCGCGAATCCTTCGCCCCTTATAAGGGCGGGCCCAGCACAAAACGTATGCACATGTTCTGCGCATGGTCGGCGGCATGGGGCGCGCGGCCTTATACCTGAAGGTAAGCCCTAACGGGCTTTGGCCTGCGGCCCGATCACGTCCGGTGGCCGGATTTACACGCTGACGCGACACAGCCGGCCACCGGGCACCTTGCCCTGCCCGTTCTGTCACTTCCCTTTCCGGTAAGTCCGATGAGTAGATGTTAAGATTTACAAAGTCTAAAAACCTTGAGATTCTAAGGGTCTCAGATTTGAAGACTTTTGGAATTTAAGGTTTCAATGGTTTAAGAATTAAGGTTTTAAGATTCAAAGATTTAAGGTTTTTGAAGGTTATAACAGCCAGGCCATTGCCCAGCCACTTTCCATCCACTATCAGATTTCGAAGGCTTCAAGATTTTAGTTTTTGTGAAGTTTTTCAGATTTGGCGACTTTCGGAATTTAAGATTTTAAGATCTTAAGATGTCAAGACTTCAAAATTTCAAGATTAAGAGTTTAAGGAATTTAGAATATAGCCCGGATTGAAGGACTTTTATTCTATTTTACTTGTTTATGAATTTATGATTTTCAGATTGCAATAGTTCGAGATTTAAAGAATTTAAGTTTTTGAAGCTTTTAAGATTCTGAGACTTTAAGATTTTGAGAGTTTCGGAATTTCATATTTTAAGATTTTAACATCTGAAGATTCAAAGACATGAGGGTTTCTGTCACTTCCCTTTCCTGTAAGTCCGATGAGTAGATGTTAAGATTTCAATATTCTAAACACTTTGAGATTCTAAGGGTCTCAGATTTGAAGACTTTTGGAATTTAAGGTTTCAATGGTTTAAGAATTAAGGTTTTAAGATTCAAAGAATTAAGGTTTTTGAAGGTTGTAACAGCCAGGCCACTGCCCAGCCATTTTCCATCCATTATCAGATTTCGAAGGCTTCAAGATTATATTTTTTGTGACATTTTCAGATTTGGCGACTTTCGGAATTTAAGATTTTAAGATCTTAAGATGTCAAGACTTCAAAATTTCAACATTAAGAGTTCAAGGAATTTAGAATATAGCCCGGATTGAAGGAATTTTATTATATTTTACTTGTTTATGAATTTAAGATTTTCAGATTGCAATAGTTCGAGATTTAAAGAATTTAAGTTTTTGAAGCTTTTAAGATTGTGAGACTTTAAGATTTTGAGAGTTTCGGAATTCCATATTTTAAGATTTTAACATCTGAAGATTCAACGACATGAGGGTTTTGACTTGAGGATGTTTATATTTTCAGGTTGCAAGATTCTATCTTCTAAGGTTGTAATTTTCAGATCTTAAGGTTTCAAGATTTCAATAATTCAAGATTAAAAGTTTAAGAAAGTTACAATATAGCCCGGATTGAAGGAATGTAATATTTTAATAATTTAAGATTTTCAGATTTCAATTGTTCGAGGTTTAAAGATTTTAAGTTTTTAAAGCTTTTTAAGATTCTGAGATTTTAAGATTGTAAGACTTTAGGAATTTCATATTTTAAGAGTTTAAGATCTCAAGATTCTAAGACATAAGGGTTTTAAGATTTCAAGATTCGAAGACTTTAGGATGTTTTTATATTTTCAGATTGTAAGATTCTAAGTTCGAAGATTTTAAGATCTCGAGATTCTAAGATTGATTGTTAGATTTTAATTTCAGATTTTACTTTAGGATTTTGAGATTTCAATCCAGGCCATTTTTCCATCCATTTTTCACCCACTTTAAGATTTTAAGATTTTCAGGTTGCACGTTTTCGGCAAAGTTGGCCCGACTTAGGGGACAACATCCCCAGCATCCCCCGAGACTTTAGGATGTTTTTATATTTTCAGATTTTAAGCTTTAGGATTTTGAGATTTCAATCCAGGCCATTTTCCATCCATTTTCCATCCACTTTAAGATTTTAAGATTTTCAGGTTGCACGTTTTCGGCAAAGTTGGCCCGACTTAGGGGACAACATCCCCAGCATCCCCCGAGACTTTAGGATGTTTTTATATTTTCAGATTTTAAGATTCTAAGTTCGAAGATTTTAAGATCTCGAGATTCTAAGATTGATTGTTAGATTTTAATTTAAGATTTTAAGAATCTAAGACTTTAGGATTTTGAGATTTCAATCCAGGCCATTTTCCATCCATTTTCCATCCACTTTAAGATTTTAAGATTTTCAGGTTGCACGTTTTCGGCAAAGTTGGCCCGACTTCGGGGACAACATCCCCAGCATCCCCCGCATCACCGGCATCATTCGCATCAATGTCCGCCAAGGATGCGGATGATGCAGGTGATGCCGGGGATGCTGTCCACTATGGGCACCCCCCAAAAAACACTCGTTTTTTGACTCCGCGGGGAGATGCTCGAAAAGCCGCCAAAAATCGCCTGAACAAATCCGGAAATCCTTCGTCCCTTATAAGGGCGGGCCCAGCTCAAAAGTATAGCGCATGGTCGGCTCATGGTCGGCAGTGGTCGGCGGCACAGGGCGGCCGGCCCTATACCTGAAGGTAGGCCCTCCGGGCCTAGGCCTTCGGCCGTATCACGGACCACGGGGTCTGAAGCCCCCGGTGGCCGGATTTACACGCTGACGCGACACAGCCGGCCACCGGGCACCTTGCCCTGCCCGTTCTGTCACGTCCCTTTCCTGTAAGTCCGATGAGTAGATGTTAAGATCTTAAAATTCTAAAAACTTTGAGATTCTAAGGGTCTCAGATTTGAAGACTTTCGGAATTTAAGGTTTCAATGGTTGAAGAATTA